ATTAAGCTGAGGTTAAGAAGTTATACTTCCAATACTATGCTTGACACTGTGACACCTACAACAGTGCAGGTATTGGAGCGACACTGTTTTTTTTTTCCTGTCCCTGATAATATTTAGCCTCATGTTTTCTACTAAAAAGCAACATGCTTCTATGATGATGCCTTAATTTCTCCCAGCTTGATCTTGCCAAGCTTGGCACTTTGGTTCTTCCTTCATGTGCACTCCACTATTTTTTTCAAGAGTAAAAGCTCTTCCTGATTACATTACCCAAAGGGCCACTCCTCCTCTCTCTAGCATAATGTTCAGTACCCCTCTCTCACTCAATGTGTTTTAGAAGTCTGCGCGCTCATAAAGAAAACACATCTGCTTCTAATCCAAAAGTTATAATCAGGGTATGTTTTCAAATCCTGTGAATATCATGATTGTCTCAACAATTAAGATGTGTACAGAAAATGCGGAGTTGTGCCACAGAGCATAGGTGCATGAAAGATTTATAGTTGGCAGCACAGTTTTATTAAGTGGTGTATTTTATGGTTCTTATATATTGTGACATAGATTAATCTGAGACCTATATTTGATTAAGCATAGAGAGAATCATATTTTCCATTGTATAATACCTTCACGGATGGGTCTAACACAAACAATTTAGTTTTTTTCACTCCTACATCTTTGGATTCCTCTAGGTGCGTAACTTTTGTTGACTGCAGGGAACTTCTCATTTCTTTCTGGATGGCAACTGGACAGAAATCCAAGAGGATCATACTTCCACAGGTTTGTATAGTTGTATCCTTTTATGAGCACTTTTTTCTGACTGTGATTTCCTATATATTAAACGCTCTTAGCACTTTCAGGGATGGTGCAAGGGACAGTTCTAGCAAGTTCTGTGATTTGAGTGTGTTAGTTCTTTATATTTTCTCTGACCACCGTAGGCCTATGCATGATTGGAGTCCTCTTGGCAGCTTCCAGTTACTTTTGTCGTGGACTCCTGGTCCACAAGCGTCATCACACCAGGTTGTTTGCTGATAATCACAATGATCAATGTGATGTTGATAATGCCTGGTTAGTTCTTGATGTGTCTTTTGACACACTTTGGGCTTAGCTGTTGTGATATCCTTTTGGGGATATGCTATCTTCTTTAATCTGATGTCCTTAAACTTTTTAATTTGATTAAAAAAATGCACTATCCCCTTGTGCATGTTGCAGAGCAAGATGCTCAATTGGAAATTCTGGAGGAGACCATTGCCAGCAAGAAGCACATTGCACTAGGGATCAGTGGGGAGCTGGACAAACTAGGCTCTTTGTAAGTGTCACTTCAAGCTGTCCTGCCAAGTGTGGTTCGTGAAACATAGGTGCTCCTAACTTCTGCTTTCAGAGATACCTGGTTCTGAATCACTTTTACTTGAACGTTGCAAGATAACACGGACGAGGGGTTGAAGACACAAGCAACCATTTATTGTGATATGTCTGTAGTTTTTTTGCAATATGAGAGCTCAAAGTAAAGTTTTATTCGATACGGCAGCTACTGGTGTCAACTATTAATTATTGCATCTATCTGAAGCTGGCTTTTAATAAATCACTTCTGTGTTGTGGAATATGAATTTTCATCCCCATGAGAACGGCCAAGTAGAGTTTTAGTGAGAATATATGAACGACCCGATAAAAATATTTATCCTATCAAGATAGGAGACGTGTTTATACTTGTACATACAATTTTAAATGTAGATTTTTACTATGTAATTATGTTGAATTTCCCTTGGCAATTGTACTTACACTACGGACATCCAAAATAATTCACCAGAACAATCAAAGAGGCCATCAGTCTCAAATTTGTCATCTAAATAATTATATTATGTGTATTATATGAGTGTCAATAATTGATTACTATAACAAAATATTTGTTTTCTATTTGATGTTCTAATTTTAAAACAATATGGATGTCTCGTAAACAAAATAATTTGCAAACCAGATCTTTATTTATGTATCCTATAATCTCAAAGTTTTTTTGTATACACATAAGACATTGTTTATCACAATCACGTGCGTGCCGCACTGCATTTTAACTGGTTATATAAATTAGTGAACCATTTCAACTTTGAATTATTCCGGATGCTCAAACCAGAGGAACCGAACAAGCCCTTGATCGGAACTCCTTGTAAGCACCGACATGGCCGATCGTCGGGTCCATCTGCGAGCGGTGCCTCCGAACGGACACTGACCTGTTTAGCGACTGTTTTTAGCATAAACGGGTCAATAAATGAAAGCATTTCTCTCTCGATTACCATGATCTAAAACAGATCCAAACAAAAAGGGTCCTTAGATGCTCTAAGCCAGCGGTAACTCGGTGGAAAAAAAAAAGAAAAGGCCGCGCCAGATCGTCATGGACGCGTAGAGTACTCACCTCCCGTCCCCATCGTGCCTACGCGCAATGGATTCCTTCGGGCCCAAGGAAACATCCTGCGGGCCCACACGTCATCGGCACATAGGTACGCCAGCCGTGACGCGGCCCATCGTGCATTCGTGCCCGCTCCGGGGAAACGAAAGGCGGCGGCGTGGGGTTTTTTTTTTTTTTGAACTCGGAAAGCTTGTTTCCATTAGACATCATCTCCAGCCAGGTCACTGGAGACCAGGTTAGAGACAAAAGTGTGGACTTGGTTCATGAACACAGTCGAACCAGAGCTAATAACCACGCTCGCCCCATACATTGCAAGGCAATCTGCCACTTTGTTGCAATTCCTCGGACAGTGCCGAATATCACAGTAATCGAATGATAAACCAATGAAATCTCTGATTTGCTTGAGGAGGCTACCATCCACACTTTGATCAAGGTCCACAGAAGTCAAACCCTGCACCAAATCTGTTGCATCAGTCTCAAGGATAATTCTTGACATACCCAACTGCGCTACTCTCTCTAGACTGTGCAGGGCAGCAAGAGCTTCAGCTTGAAAAGAGGTGGCCACTCTACAAAGATTGCCGCACCCACCCTCCAAAAACTCGCCGACATTGTTCCTTGCAACAAATCCCCATCCTCCCTGACTCGTAGCAGCTCTGAAAGCGCCATCAATATTGATCTTATACATATCTTCCGAGGGGGGATCCCATTTGTTTTGCCTGGCCTGCTGCTGGCCTTTGTTTGTTTTCCTTCCCTTTTCAAATTGTGCCATATAAAAAGTCACCAGAGAGCATACCTCAGAGCCTGTGATCCTTTTCCCCCCAGCATTCACCTTGTTCCTCGCCGACCACCATCTCCACGACAAAACAACGATTTGTAGCTGGATCTGTGTTGAGAAGGACCATATCTTTTGCATCATGTCCCGACCAGAATGGCAGGCTGCTAAGATCTGACGGTTCTCCTCTAGATTTAGACCCCTCCAGCACTCCTTCACTTCTTTGCATTTGAAAGAGAGATGACCAACATCTTCATCAGTGTTTTTTTCTCACAACAAATCAGCATAACAATCAGTATAAATCAAATTTCAGCATAAGCGAACAGGGTATTTATCCCACCTGAACACAGAGTCTCCCACTGGTACTGACTCAGAACTTGCTGCGTTTCTGCCAAGCTCATATTATTGTCTTCTTTGAACCGCCACTTTATATGCTGACTTCACTGAGAACAGTCTGGGTCACCGGAAGAGGAGACTGCTAGTAGGCGAGAGGAAAAGAGACAAAACAAAAGGCCCAGCGCGCGACGCGCACCGGCCCATTTAAAAAAGAGCCAAGCCCACCACCGTGCACCGCAAGAGAGAGCAGAGACGATCGCACGCACGAGAACGAGACGAACGAAACCCTACCAGGCTACCACCCGCACGCACGCACGGGCACGTCCGTCCCCACGACGCGAGACGCCAAGAGCCGGAGAGGAAGCGAGGAACGGGTCGAGCCGCGCCCCGCCTCCGTCGGAACCCCTTATAAGCCGCCGCCCCCAAACCCTCCCTTCCCTTCTTCCCCTAGCTAGCCACCCCCTCCCTGCCCTTCACCCCGCAAACGCCACCGCCGAATCGAATCCGAGACGCCGATCTCGGATTCGCTTCCGTCGCCGTCGCCGTAGCCGCGCCCTCCTTCGTCGTCGTCGTCGCCGCTCCCGCCGCTCGTCTCGTCAGGTAACGCCCCACCCCAGATCTGTCTCTCGCTCGTCTCGTCTCGTCGCTGCCCTTGAGGCTTGAGCCGCCGCGTTTCGTCTGGTCCAGTCTCCCGCCCCCCGCTGCTCGATCTGGCCTCGGGGTGGGGTTTGTTTCGTGGGCGCTCGGATCTGCCCGCCGGCGTCGCGGCCGGATCTGGGCCGGGCCGGTTCGGGCGAGGAGCCGGTGTTGTCGGCGTGGAGGCCCGAGGAAGGTCTCTGTGAGCGGTTTGATTGATAGGCCCGGGCATAAAATAAGAAAGGCATATTGCTTATTGTGTACTTGGCTGCGCGCGGTGTCGTCTCTGTTCTGCGATTGTCAATCTTGTCCATTAAGTTGTGGTGGAAAACATTGGTCCTTTCTTGAGGTCAACCTGTTTGGTTGGTTGGTCCGTCATGACTTTCCATCCATATGTAATGGGAGTTGTATATGTTTCCACCTAACCTTTTTGCGGCTTCTACTTGCTCTGGGCTCTGTCTTTTAGTTTGTACCACTGTATAAGTACTACTCGTGCATTTTTGGGACCCCAATATCTAACAGTATGCACTAGTCCATTAGAGAATTGGGCTTGATCTTAACTTCTAGGTCAGTTATGCCACTTTTTGCTGTAGTGCTTAGCTGGAAATTTTACAGATCCAGTGTGAAGTCCATTCCTAAAGCGAATGGTTACTCGAAATTGCTGTCATTCTTTATTTTTCTATCTTGAATATAACATGGTCACTTGTGGTGTGATATATTATTATGTGCATGAGCACTAAATGTCTTCAAAGTTTGTTCTGTGGTCCAGTTTGCTATTGGTGTTATGTTTACCGTGTGTTCCTTTGTGGCCATCATTACTAGTGTGTTGACTGTCATTTATTGGTTACCTTCTCCATTGCAGCCATGGCAGGATTGGCACCAGAAGGGTCCCAGTTTGACGACAAGCAGTATGACAAGAAAATGCAGGAGCTACTGTAAGTCCTCTTGCATAAATTTGTTAAGTCATTTGGATGCTATGTTTAGTTCACTTGTCCTGTAGCTTTTGATTTACTTAACTTTCGTACCGTGCTTGCAATGTACAGAATTGAGGACTTCTTCACTTCGTATGATGAAGTTTGTGAAAGTTTTGACAACATGGGGCTACAAGAGAACCTTCTGAGAGGCATCTATGCCTATGGTATATAATAATCTCAATTACTTCCTGATATTCCTTCATTCAGTGAAGTTTTGATCCATCCTGCAATTACGTTACTTGATTCGCATTTGCATTCTTCAGGTTTTGAGAAGCCATCAGCTATTCAGCAAAGGGGGATTGTTCCCTTCTGCAAGGGGCTTGATGTGATTCAGCAAGCCCAATCTGGAACTGGAAAAACAGCTACCTTCTGTTCTGGAATCTTACAGCAGCTTGATTATGGATTGGTTGAGTGCCAGGCATTGGTTCTTGCTCCAACCCGTGAGCTTGCGCAGCAAATTGAGAAGGTTATGCGTGCTCTTGGGGACTATTTGGGTGTCAAAGTGCATGCCTGTGTTGGTGGAACATCTGTCCGTGAGGACCAAAGGATTCTTGCCAGTGGTGTGCATGTTGTTGTGGGCACACCAGGGCGTGTGTTTGATATGTTGCGTAGGCAGTCCCTCCGCCCCGACAACATCAAGATGTTTGTGTTGGATGAAGCTGATGAGATGCTCTCCCGTGGATTCAAGGATCAGGTTTACTTCTCACTCCTTGTTATGCTACAACTTCCAGTGCTATTGTCAAACCATACATGTGTTTTTGTTTGTTCTTGTCATGCTGCAACTTTAGGTACTGTAACTGTTCAATTGGTGTGTGTTTTTAAGTTTGTGATGTGGTATTATGTTTTAGGTGTTACCAATGAAGGCCTAAACCTGATGCATCCTGATTTATTTCAAATTTCAATTGATAAAAATAAAAATTTGGATTAAAACATATCTTTCCCTTCCCCAGACCCCACTCATGTGGGAGCCTCCGGCACTGGGTCTGCCCTTATTAAAACATATCTGATTCTTAAATTGCTGTTACAGCCAATTTTGAATTGCTGTCCTGCAGGCTGTAATTTTCTATCAACTAATCCATATTTATGCATGGCACCTGTTGGTTAGTAGGATAGTGATATGGATAAGTCAAATTTAGTATTGGGATATGCATATAGGCTAATTTAATTTCTGAGACCAACCTGCTTATATGGTCATCTAATGTTCCTAAACTAGCTTTGATCTGTTCTTTTCTACTACTATTATTATGGAAGATATCTTTTGATAGCTTATAGCTGTTTGGCTTCAACTGACATGTGCCTTTTGCAGATCTATGATATCTTCCAGCTTCTTCCATCTAAGATTCAGGTCGGTGTCTTCTCAGCTACCATGCCCCCTGAGGCCCTTGAGATCACTCGCAAGTTCATGAACAAGCCTGTGAGGATTCTTGTCAAGAGGGATGAGCTCACCCTTGAGGGTATCAAGCAATTCTATGTCAATGTGGAGAAGGAAGATTGGAAGCTTGACACTCTGTGTGACCTGTATGAGACCCTGGCAATCACTCAGAGTGTCATCTTTGTGAACACCCGCCGCAAGGTGGACTGGCTCACAGACAAGATGAGGAGCAGGGACCACACCGTCTCAGCCACGCACGGTGATATGGACCAGAACACCAGGGACATCATCATGAGGGAGTTCAGGTCCGGCTCCTCCCGTGTGCTCATCACCACCGACCTGCTCGCCCGTGGTATTGATGTCCAGCAGGTCTCACTTGTCATCAACTACGACCTGCCGACCCAGCCTGAGAACTACCTTCACCGCATCGGTCGTAGTGGTCGGTTTGGAAGGAAGGGTGTTGCCATCAACTTCGTCACCCGTGATGACGAGAGGATGCTGTTTGATATCCAGAGGTTCTACAACGTGACCATCGAGGAGCTGCCGGCCAACGTCGCTGACCTTCTCTAGATGATGTTCTCTAGATAATATTGGCTGCTAAGGTTTCTGGATAAAGAAGTCTGTTTTTTGTTAAAATACGTCAACTTTTCTCTGCTTTGGAGGAGTGGTAAGGTCGGGGTCTATTCAAATTGTGGCGAAGGATGGTTTCTAAGTTAATTTTCTCGTATGCAACATTTCGGAATTTTTGTATCTGAGTAGGCTATGTGCCGCTCCTGGGCTAGCTGGGTGCTGAGACACTACTGGAGTATTTTTGCTTTCACTGTTGGGCTATGATTCGTAATTTTCTCGTATGCAACATTTCGGAATTTTTGTATCTGAGTAGGCTATGTGCCGCTCCTGGGCCAGCTGGGTGCTGAGACACTACTGGAGTATTTTTGCTTTCACTGTTGGGCTATGATTCGTGTCGCTGTGTATTTTCTTTCCGGGCTTCGGAGCCATTTCTGCATGGGTGCATCGTATGAACAGGCTAGCTTCTTATTGTCTGTTTGCTGAAGATGGGGATGGGCGTATCAAGCAGAACCTGCGTAGACGCAGAAAGTATGCAATTCTAGAGATTCGGTCTAGATCACAATGTCTTAATTTTGGCAGATTTATAGAAACCGTTTAAACGACTAAAAAATAGGTAGATATATTTGATCATCATTCTAATGATAATAATTTTGTATGAAAAATATATATATTATATATATCTTAAGCACCCTGCTATGTGATACTCCCTCCACTTCAAACTTTAAGCCATGCTGATTTTTGATAATAACTTATAAACATAACAAAAGTTATGTATCTAGAAAATACAATATGAAATAACTTATAATGTAGAATGGAGAGAGTAGTATACTGTAATTTTTTTGGGAAAAGAGGGTAGGATAGTACATACATTCTTTAAAAAAAAAGATGCAATTCTATTCTAACTTCAATTAAAGTCATTGTTTTAGGTTTGAAGTTGATAGAAATTATTACTCAATGCAGGTATTCTTTCTGTCCCATAGGACTTGTCTTGTAGCCTTCTACTTTCCAAATTATTTGTCATTCTCAATTTTTAATCCACCTTTATCTTTTTCCAATACACTATCTCTCTCCTTGTAGTTTTCTCTGCACTATAACTTTTTCACTCCTTAACTCCTGTGTTCAAGACCAAAGTTAAAAGGTCATGACGGATAATGCTATAAAATATATTTCATGACGAATCTATTAGTATTTATTTATGCTAGTATATATAGAACATGATAAATATTAATATTTTAATATAAACTTGTTAAATTTAACATCGTTTGACTTAATACTATCTTAGAATTGTACATCATGTTTCTCAAGACGGCAACTCTTTTTAACTTTTGTTTGCGGAAAGACTTAATAATATATAGAAAAGGTATTGATATTTATGATATGCAATAAATATCATTAGACTAATCATGGAATATACGTTTAAAATAAACTTATGCTGAGAGATAAATGTTGATACTCCTCCTTCCATCCTTTAATAAATTGAGTTGTATCGCATAAAACTTTTTTTATGTTTAACGGGATTAATAGAAAAGAGCGATAAGATTCATGACACCCAATTATTAGATATACTATAAAATATATTTCCATAATGTGTTTACTTGATGTTATAATTTTTTGTGTTTTTTTTATTTTAGTTGAATATAAAAAGTTTAACTTAAGAATAACTCTAACGTCAGTCTTAGTAGAGAGTTTCGTAACACAGTTATCAAGGCTGTCACGCCAGCTTTTGTATTGGTTACCATGACTACGAGTTTCATTCAAATAAAACTCTATGAAACTCTCTCTCTATCTCTCTTTTCATAATTAATCTGCCACATCATCAAATCTGTTGATGTATTATAGTATTGTTAAATGGAAATAAAACTCAGATGAAACTCCACTTAGGCTGGTCTAACAATTGATTCATTCAAAGACTGAAAGTATTTTTAGAAGTTTGACACTTCAAGAATGGAGGTACCTAGTTATTTTGGGACCAATGAAGTATCTTTTCTGGAGGTACCTAGTCATCACAATAATGCATTTCATCGGGAATATTATGGGCTGCTAAAAGCCATGGTGATTGATGTTGACCTGTGGCTATCGTCCGGTTCAGAGCCTCGTCAGCGTCATCTAACATTAGCTGCCTTTTTCCTCAGCCTCCCATGAATGTGATAAGCTTGGGATCTTCTTGTTCTGCCACTTGCTACCTCTGAAAGGGATATTGATCAATGCACGGGGCCTTTTTAATAGTGAAATTTCATGTGAAGATTTTGGAGTACACTTTTTCTGAATAATCTCGTGTGTATGTGGCTAGCTTTTGAGATGCGAAATTGCGAACTACTTTGGACATAGATATGGTCTCTAAGATACAACTTTAATCAGTACCCCTTTTTGTAATGAAAAGCTTATAAAGCAAAAGGTATGTTCTTGTGGCATTTCGAATATCTAAACTCAACCCATGAAAATTGACTATAAGAAAACAAATTTAAAGATGGACTTTAACAACTACAACATATTGGAGTGTATTAGAGGCATTTTCTTGGCCGGCGCCAGCTCCCAAAGCTGGGTGTATACGTAAACTCCAAAAAAAAAAAGATAGAGAGACCAAGAGATACGTTGAGTATATTTTGATGGTTCATTTCATTGTTTATTATAGTTGGAGCCAGATAAATATTTTAATTATTTTAATTTAAACTACAACTACATATCCAACAGTGGCATTAGGGTAGAGTCTGTGCCAAACGGACTGCTTTTTTTTCCTATCATCTTTCTCTCCCTGGTCCATGGATCCACAAGTGGAGGTCCAGTTGTAGCACAGGGCCCGTGGGCTTCAGAGCGTGCAGAAGTGATCGGGCTGGGCTAGGCTTCTGTGCAACAGTGAGGTTCTTCTTGTGCTTGTCTTGGTAAAAAAACATCATGAGAGGTATGACTTTAAATAAGAAGTATGACTTTAAATAAGTCAGTTGCTAAATTTTAGATGCCTGAAATTCTATATAATAATTTTAGGTAACTCACTTTTTTTTCTATATATAGTCAAACAATGACAAAGTTGCATATTGTCTGAAAAAAAAACATCTGAAATATAGGAGAAGTTTAAAAATAAATGTATATCAATATCTATATCCATGTCTAAATTTCTTATAAAAGCAAACCTCGCTATCTTTCAATTTTCACATGCAAGCTGCGTCATACCCCACTAAGGGCCACTGGCCAGCCACATCACCCCGCCCAATAAGTGCTACAACATCGTTCACTAAATGCAATTATTATTTCTGGTCTATCAACATACAATGATACAAGGCATCTGCATTGTACTATTTGTTTGGCCGTCGCATTCTATAATTCGGTCTTATATTGAAAGTTTACTTACCTAGTTTTGACAACATATGTCTTATATGCAATGATACAGCTGTTTTATTTCTAAGAAATTTCCACGGTAACGTGAGTGTTTTTCTAGTTTTCAACAACTAACCACCCGCTAACCCCACAATTGTGCATTGCCTATTATAATTGGTCGTTGCAATTGAAATTATTCTTGGTCAAGCATGCATGTCATTTTTTTTGGCAAAAAAAGCATGCATGTCACTGTGATATGCATCTTGATTTTGTCCAGCTGGCTGGAAAGTCAATAAGCACCAGTATCTTCGCCGCTTGGTACTTGGTAAGGACACGAGTATATCCCATCGTATAGTATGGTATCACTATAGACTAAATAAAGGCCTTATATTAAAGTAAGTAAAGTAAGAATAAATGACATTCTCTCTTATATATAAAGACGGCTCCTTATTAAACTACGGAAGAGATATGGATGGCTAACTATTTTCCCCCATGATTTGATTGAAGTATACTTCATCATTATCAACAAAACGGATCCTGCTGATAGGTATATATACACATATCAAACTTCACAACCCTGAAAAAAAAAAGATTAAAAAATCAAAAGTCCGAACATGCAAACCTTGCCGTTATATATACATATTCAAACCGATATATATTCTGTCGTTGGAAGAGTGGACTTCTTCTGTAAAATAATCAGCATAAAAACTAGTACTATATATTGTTTAAGCTAAGAGAGGAACTTGATGATTACTTATTGATAGTGTGGATTTGAGGAATGCAATTTCAATACACGCGCAACCAGTGTGATAATCCCTCTGTTAAACAAAATGTAAATCTTGCTTCTCTAATAGTTTTAATATGTAACTTAAATTAATAATGGACTATATTTTTATAATGAACCTATCTCAAGATAAATGTTGACAACCCTACTATTTTTATAAAACTAATCAAGGACGGGCCTGGTGCAAGCGGTGGAGTCTTACCGTCTGTGATCGGAAGGTTCCGGGTTCGAGTCGCGGTCTCCTCGCATTGCACAGGCGAGGGTAAGACTTGCCACTGACACCATTCTCTAGACCCCGCACAGAGCGTTCACCAATCAGATCAGTTCAGATATGCACGAATGAATCAAATTTCACGCATAGCTTATTCTGCGACTTGCTAGTTACTTAATCTGACGAGTAACAACTTGTTTCAAAAAAAAAAAAAGAAAAGAAACTGACAACTTAAGAACAGACGGCGAGCAGGGATGATGAACATGGCCCTTTCTTTTCTTTCTTTTTTTAACTACTACCACATGCCCGTGCGTTGCTACTAGAGCAAAATTTCAATGCAATAATAATATAAAAATATATACTGTGTCAAGATGAATAGACAAATAAATTTAAATTTATCTTAATAACATACTATTCCGAATCACATTCAAATAAATAAGCATCAATTTCCAATAAAAAGCATAAATCATCATATATATTCCCTAATATCTACCCTTTACAACAATTTAAATTTGTCTTGGCACACAATTTAACAACTTTCTCTATTTCCTAGTCCATGGTACTCTCCTTCGCCTAGCCCTCCAGTTGTGTTTCCAACACCAGGAATTTAAGACCTTCAGTTCAGCCCCCACCCCGCTAACCTGACGATGCTACTAAGCCGCTTCCTCACTGAAATTGCAAATAATCTATGCGTCGCTGGACTTCTCAACTTTATTCTTAGCTGATTCCTCAACAATACATGATATTACATCTTTATTCACTTATACATGAGTTGTAAATGGTTGAGAGCATAGCCCATGTATTATCTCGTGGAATTTGCTATAGCATTGATGTTCTGCATTACCATTGCAACAATTGATCCTCCGTAGCTATGTACTTCTTGCCAATTCATCCTTCTGCAATATACTAAGACCAGCTCTTAAAATTTCCCTTTTCTTAAAGAAGGACCCAAAAAAAATCCCCATTAAGAAGTTGACGTCATACTTGCATTGATCATTCGATGGTACATAAGCAGGTCATGTTCGCTTCTCTTATAATCCGTCTTTTTCAGCTTGTTTTTTCAGCCGGAACAGTGTTTTTCTCTCATAACAAATCAGCCGGAACAGTGTTTCGGCTTGTTTTTTCAGTAAAGCGAACGGGGCCTACTGAGAAAAAAAAGGATGGAAGGTAACAATAAAATGCATGACATGCAAGATCGCTGAGCATATTCCCAACTAACATCACTCTATATTGATATGGTAACAACATTCAACATTGTATACTGATATGCACATGTATTATCTTTGTCACTAAAAGAATGTATCACTCCACAAATGTGGGTACCATCCTGACCTCTACTACAAACATGATACCATCCTGACCTCTACTACAAACTTGATACCATCCTGACCTGCTATCGGTACTACAGAATAAAGATGCAAACATTTAGGCCCCGTTTACTTATGAATCTGGAGGAATTTGTGCGAGGAAAACACAGTTCCGGATGAAAAAAAAACGAATCAAGTCGGGTTTAAGGGCACGCGAACGGAGCCTTAATCTTATACCTGCTACTTTGGGAACCCATATTGCGGTTGTTCTCAGTCTCATATCTCAAGTTTAGGCTCTGGCTACTGCTACAGTGCACAGGAGCCGGAGCTAACGAAGCAAAAAAAATGCTAGCTTCATTGACTCCTACTTCGATTTGAAAAGTGAAAAAAAAAAACAGCTTCTTATTGAGAAACCAAAGTCAGAGCCACCCGAAGGGAACTATGCGTCCTGTTCGTTTGGACTTGTTTGGCTTATAAGCTGTACTTTTTCAGCCAACGAACAATATTTTTCTCTCACACCAAATCAGCCAATAGTACTTTCAGCCATTGCTTATCAGCCAAACAAGCACAAACGAACAGGCGATGCCCCGAGGAAACCCTTCCTCTGTTGACCTCGGCAGCAGTAACATAAAACTCACTCAACAATGTGACTTGTGGATTATCGATGGGAATCAGGAGTCTTATTTGTATTGCACATGTCACTAGTCACTACTAGCTTCTCGTTTCTAAATTTTATCTAGTAATTGACCTTGTTCACAGCCATATGGTATGGTATTTTTGTCTTACATTACATGGGAAAGCTTATCAGCCGCAATGTGTTTTGAGTTCACAAATAAAATAAAATAAAATAAAAACTGGAAACAGATCACCAGGAATCACAACGGGTACACATAGTAGACATGAATAACACTGTACAACTTGCTGCACAATCTTTTTCTCAAGAGTAATTCAAAGGGATTTGTATGAATGCATGACACTGTACTTCATATCAAACTTCACAGTGAGCCTTTAAATTTTAACGACGACAAATATTCAGTTCAAACGAGCTTCAGTGGGCAGCCCCCTTCCATTTGCTCACGACTTCAGCAAGTGTCTCGTAGGACACGCCGCCGGGCCGGAGCACGCTCGCCGCTGCCTCCCGGAGCTCCTCCACCTTGGCGCGCGCCGCCGCTCCCTTCTCGCCGTGCATCATCTCCTTGACAACCTCGGCGATGTCTTCCGCGAGGATCATCCCGTCGGCGACGCGGGCCCGAGGCCTGAGCGCCGCCCGGGTCTCCTCGCACAGCAGCACGGCGTTCTGCCTCTGCTCGGCGTACAGCGGCCACGCCACCCTCCAGCACCGAGTTCCAGCCGCAGTGCGTCAGCATTGCCATGGTGGCGCGATGCGCGAGGACCCTCGCCTGCGGCGCCCACGACGGCACCACGAGGCCCGTCGCCTTTGTCCTCTCCACGAACCCGCCGGGGAGGTGGCTCAGCGGGTCGTCCCTGCTTTTCGACCCGTCGTAGTAGCTCTCCCCGGGGTTAGCGCCGGCGCCGGCAGCGTCGGCGTCGACGGGGCTCCTCACCACCCACAGGAACCGTGCCCCGGACAGTTCCAGCCCGCGCGCCAGCTCGCGTGTCTGCGCCTCGGACAGCGCGCCGCCGCTGCCGAACGACACAAACAGCACCGACCGCTCCGGCTGTGCGTCCAGCCACTCCACGCAACCGGTGTCGTCGCCGTCGTCAGCGGTCGTCGCCAGCCGTGTTATGGGCCCGACCGGGTACACCGGCGGGCGCCACGGCTCGGGCCGGCGGAGCACGGCCGCGGCGCCGGGCTCGGCGGCGTCGAACGTGTTCACCAGTATGCCGTCCGCGTCGCGGTACCGCTCGCCGTGGTGCACCATCCACCGGCACGCGTCGCTGGCCCGGTCCTGGAGCGGCTGCAGGATGTCGGCGCCAGGGACCGACACGCAGCCGAGGAGCCTGACGGGCTCCGTCATGTCGGCGCCACGGACCGGATTGAGACAAAATTCAAGACACCAAGGAAATCGGATCAAAACCGATATGGAATCCAACCTCACCATGACTCATCATCCTATAAACAACCAACTTCACAACCAAATCATATCGATCCCATCGAATCAATCACCAGAACAACTCAACAACGCAAATCGGATCTCCGATAGGCGAAACTACCCTTTCTCCATCAGCGGTCAGAGCGTCGACGTAAGGCGGGGCCGAGGCAGAGGGAGGTCGACGGCGAGGCAGCGTCGAGTCGCTAGCGCGGGCCGCGACGACGAGGCGCCGTGGAGTCACGAGCGGGGGCGCGGGCCAGCGACGGCGAGGCGGCGTCGAGTCGCGAGCGTGGGCCGCGACGGCGAGGCGCCGTGGAGTCACGAGCAGGGGCGCGGGCCAGCGACGGTGAGGCGGCGTCGAGTCGCGAGCGTGGGCCGTGACGGCGTGGCGCCGTGGAGTCACGAGTGGGGGCGCGGGCAGCGACGGCGAGGCAGCGTCGAGTTGCGAGCGTGGGCCGCGACGGCGAGGCACCGTTGAGTCATGAACGCGGGACGCGATAGCGAGGCGGCGTCGAGTCGACGCGGGCCTTCCGTGGCTCCTCCCTGCGCGTGTGGCTTCGTGTGCACGGGCACGCGGGAGGCGGAGAAGAGAAACACGGAGGAGGAGCGTGCGAGGAGGGTCACTGCGCCATGATTTGCGCCTGCATGTTGCATAGACCCTCGATTGAGCCATGGCCGGCAGCGTGCAGACACGAGGCTAGGGCCTTGTTTGGTTGCCCCAACCCCCAATTTTGGTACATACTTTAAAAAAAAAAGATTCCTCGTTACATCAAATTTATGGTATATATATAGAGTACTAAATATAGACGAAATTAAAAACTAATTATACAGTTAGGTTGTACTTTGCGAGACGAACGTTTTGAACCTAATTAGTCAACGATTGGACAATTACTAATTACACAGTTAGGTTAAAATTTGCGAGACGAACATTTTAACTCTGAGAGTTCGAAGGAGATGGGGATTGGGGAGCCCAACGGAGACAAATGTGGACAACGGCACTTTCAACGCACAGACTCTACGTGATTTCTATAGCTATTTATTATCTCTTTATTTATTGATTTTTAATTTTTTTAACATGACACTTTATTTATTGAAAAAAAGTAGGAAAAATATAGGAAACGACGTCTATATCCTGTTCGCTTAAACTACTTTTTTATGAGCTTATTTTAAGCTATTCTCTCACAATCAGTCGGCTTATTTACCTTCCGAACAGGGCCTAAGTTAGAAACGACGTCTACGAGCGCATCGAGGCTGAAGAAACCACGAGAGACCGCGCTGGGGAGGCGGGCGTCGTCTCCATGGATCTCGTACACCAGCGCCATCCACCCTCCCCGCGACCGCGATTCCTTTCCCTCGCACGGCGCGCGCTCGCCCGAGCCGGCCTTCTCCCGCGCGCTAGCTCGACGTTGCCGTGCCGCCGCTTGCTGTTGCCGTGCCGCCGCTGCAGATCCCGCCGTTATGCGCCCAGCCGCCGTCATCGCGGCGCGTGAGGCGGGGCTGCGCGTCCTCCACGCCTCGCCGCGAAGTTGCGTGCGAGCCCGCCATCCCCACGCACTCTCCAGATCTCGCGCGCGCGCGCTCGGCATCGGCAGAGATGAGACGCCGCCGCCGTCGCCATTTTTTTTTTTTGTGTGCGTGCGCTTCTGTTTCTTCTGGCCCCGCCCTCCGGCCATTCTCCCTCCCTCTGCCGGCCATCTCCCATCGACTTTTGGATGCTTCTGGTGATGTACTTTTGGATGCTTTCGGTGATATACAGCTATGTACGTGGTGTTCAATTGCTAGTTGATGATCCTGTATGGTTCTAGAACATTTATCCTTCCTATCGATGCATTGCTGATGAGATGTGTACGGTGGAACGCATGGTAATATGCCACAGCTGATCAGCTATCTTTGTTGCGAAATATTTTTTTTATTCATAGAAACTACTATTAAAATTTTTGCATTGGGAGCATGGTTTGTTATTACGGGGTCTTCGAGATATAGAAAGATAGTTTGCCTTAAGGCTCACGAGGGAGACCGGAATACTCTACCTTAAGATTGACCACAACACATCACTGACAAGTATGGTCACGACCTTTGGGGCCCAGTTGGAAGTCGTTGGGCACTGAGTTGAATTCCAACCCAACCGATCCAATTCATCTCATTTGCAGCCACAAGATTTTTAGAAAACTAGTTTAATTCCCCGCGTGTTGCTGTGGGAATGTAAAAGTAATTTGACTTGAGTTAGAAGAAATAGGATGTAGAAGGAATTGTGCTAAATAAATATAAGTATATATGCGATATAAAAAACTATATGAACTTGAATTGAGCGCGTGTTCAGTTCCAAAAATACTTTCAAAAAAGTGCTACAGTACCGTTACATCGAATCTTGCGATACGTGCATGGAACAGTAAATGTAGACGAAAAAAAAACTAATTGCACAGTTTGGTTGGAAATCGCAAGACGAACGTTTTGAGCCTAATTAGTCAATGATTGAACACTATTTACCAAATAAAAACGAAAATGCTACAGTACCCAAATTCCAACTTTCCTTCCAACTAAACACAGCCTGAATATTGTACAATGGGGCATATATTTGTGCCATGATTACTAATTGATTTAAATATGCTTACATGAAAATTATACATTAAAAGAGTTGCATCAGTAACTAAATAAAAGGCAGCGCTCTAATCTTCAATCTTCAACCTCATCGAAGAAAACACGGTCACTAACCTGTGGAGGAGATTATATATTGTGAGTTAATACACAACACAAAAAAATTGGATGTGTATCCATGAAAACACGAAATCCATTGCAATTGTAGATTTGGATGTCTATCCATGAAATCCACCGGCTCTGCCATCAAGCATCCTTATCCTCTCAAGTGTATTAAATAAAAAAGAAAGAAAAACCTTTTCCTCACGCAAGGATGCAACAGGAGATGAGCAGGATGCAGGCGAGAAGGGCGGCGGCGGCGGCATGCAGGATCGGGCGGCATGTGAGGCTACAGGCAAACACCGAGTGGGCACTAGGCGTACGCGTTGCGGCGCTGCGCGCGCGGGTGTCACCGCACGGAGGTGGATGGGCCGTGCGGGGCGAGCTCCTCACTAGCACTGGCCGCGACGTGCGAGCTGCTAGGCGCAGATCTGGAGGACGCCAGCGCGGGGATGATTGCGGATGCCACGTGAGAGAACTAATTGAAGCTGTCAAAATCTGAAGTGTACTAGGAGGAAGAGTGGTCAGTTTGGAGAAGACTCGTCCTTGCCTCCTTGGGTTATGTATACACGGCCAATTGAGAGATGAGCCGTGATGGCAGGGAAGATGTAGGGGCGAGTGCAAAATTCAGTGGACACGATCGACTTTGATTGCATGTTCGCTTCGTGTTCTCAAGGAACAGAGGAGGCTGGCTGTTGGCCTCCTGCTAGCCTTTGCGTGAGGGAGTGGGATAAGACGGTGGTTCGGCTCCTGCTAGCGTTTACGTGAGAGGAATTTCGTTGCCTGTTGGGCTCCGTTTGCCTCTTGGTATCTCCATCTGCGAACAGAGATCGAACATACCGAAGGAAACGCTGATCGACAGTGTAGGTGGATGCGTAGGCCAGTATGGAATGATGACGTAGAGAGCTGTGGACTGAGAGAATTAGACTGGTGGGGTTTTGTTTTATAGGAGTTATAGATTTTAAATTCTCGAGAGATACAGTGTTAGGCTTTTAGCTTGTTCATGATTGACATAAAAAGTATGCATGCCGGAGGTATTAATATTTTTTCTTTAGTTTTTGACATGAAATGTATGCTTGTCGTAGGTAGTAAGCTTTTCTTTTTAGAAAAAGGGGCAACAATAGTCGAATTGTTTCATGTCCCCCTTGTTCTTTATATGATTTGGATTCATGACTTCATATAGGACTCAGATTTATAAACCATGCTCATATGAGTTAGAGCAAGTCATATCCAGCAAAGGTATGAGATGTGATTTCAACATATATTGAATTTCGTGCAACGCACGGCGTAATCGGATCAATTGAGGTGCGAAACCAAAGCCAAAGCCGATAGTTGTAGTTCTCGGATACTTAAACCAAAACCGGATCGAAAAACATGAAAAAACCGATAATTAGTTTGGTTCGGTGTCAGTTTCGCTCGTTTTTTTCTGTCCAAAAAATCTAACTAAAAAAAAATGTTATATAGTCTCCCATTTTTTAATATATAATTAGGAGTTTTTTTTACTATGGCTTAATTTTTTTGTGTTTTTGCAGAGTATGCATGCCGCACACAGGTAAACCATAACAACTTGGGCTGGGTCGGGTGTGCTTACAAGAGGAGCACTACTATGGCTTAGTTATTGTTATGTTTTTGACGTTTATGCACAAGTCATCATATTTGATATTTAGCCGGTGGTTCAACGTAACTTACCAAATAAATCTAACCACTGAGTGATAATTAAGTGCTTTGAATTAAAGTACTTAGCGTCTTCCACTATACCTATAACAGGGGACTCCAATTTCTACTGCGTATCAAATTGGTTGACCTAGATATGGTGCCTACAGTAGTAATGTCTCCACTCAACAATTATGGCTGTATTTAGTTCGTGAATTTTGGAAATTTGGCTACTGTAGCACTTTCGTTTTTATTTAACAATTAGTGTTCAATCATGGACTAATTAGGCTCAAAACGTTCGTCTCGCAATTTTCCAACCAAACTGTACAATTAGTTTTTTTTCATCTACATTTAATGCTCCATGCACTGTATCGCAAGATTCGATGTGATGGCTATTGCAGCACTTTTTAGAAAACTTTTTAGAACTAAACAAGCTCTATCTTAAGGGCATGCACCTTCTCTCCCCTTAGTGCATCTAACAATCTCATCGATATATCAAACACCTGTGTGCCATACCAAATAACATCTCAATGACAAGATATATATATATATATATATATATATATATATATATATTTCTTCCGACGCAACGCACGAGTATATTTTCTAATAATAATTATAAAAGTTACTCGTTGTGGTAGTCTGGCAGAGCGGTGGCCTAGAGGAGGCTGACAGAGGTTGTGACTTGCAAATGGTAATTGGTAAGGATGGCCCTATTCATTTGAACTTATCAGCATAGCTTATCAACAATGGTATAATATTTTTCTCTTACAACAAAACAGCATCGGCCGACTGATGCCGGCTTATCAGCCGCAAAAACCACAAGCCGAACATGGAGGCAAACCTAGATACACTGCCGTCGAGCTTGGGACGACGACGGAGACGTTTGGCGACAATGCTACGAGGAAAGGTGGTGGGAGACGGGACTAGAAGACATGACGGAGAGGACCAGGACGACGATGGGATGTCATGATTTTTTTTATTGAAGACTACTAGGCCTCGTTTGGTACAGATTTATGAAAAAAAGGTATCATAGATATTTCGATTTCGTCCTTCAAACTAACAAGAGAGGTTGCTTTACTCAACTGTTTAAAAAAACTAGTTCAACTCCATAAGTGAATCTACTTTATCATGTGAAGCAAAAAAACGACTATACACTGCTAAAGTTGGACGGGGATAGGACACAAGGGGCCCGTTTAGCTTACTTTATATCTGGCTTACTCAGTTTTTTTTCAGTCAGAACATTGTTTTTTCTCTTTAACATTTCAGCTAGAACAGTTTTTTTCAACGGAGCAAGGCGTGACAGAGTTGACGAGGATGGGGTGACGTGAACAGCGGAGCAAACCGTACGTCCGAGTCTCGGAGATAATACCAGACAATTTTGAGTTAGCTTACTATACTATACTGTAGAAGCGTGTGAGAAATTCATGCGAGGACCTGCTGTGACTTTTTTATAGGACGCTAGTAATTTGCTAGGCTAATAATGCCTTAGCGTGCATCACATCTGTTTGGTTTGTTGGAGTTTCTTTCCGGAAACATTTGACGTGCTCTTGAAAATGAAAGCTTAGGCGGTACAGTGCTCTCGTGGCAAAATTCTTACATAAATAATGCAGGAAAACAATAGGAGAAATGAACAAATCTAGTAATGATCTCATTGCGCGAGTTATTTTTTAATTAAACAAAACCTGAAAATACATATAAAAAAGGAACTACAATAGTAATTTATTGACACGCGCTTAGTTTTTAGAGGCAAAGCCACCATGTAAATCAGGAATTTCACAAGTGGCATGATTTACCAGCCTCTGCAAATGAATTTTAGAAATGCAAACATCAACCATTTGGTGAGCCTGCTAGTTGCGGAGGCCCGCAAAACCAACCGTGGAGCCCCTTCAAGTGTCATGTTCGCTTAGCTGATAAGTCATGGCTGAAAGCACTGTTGGCTGATTTGTTGTGAGAGAAAAATACTATTCGTTGGCTGAAAAAGTATGGCTTATAAGCCAAGCGAACAGAGCGAGGCTGCCAATCTCGATGTGGAAGCCGATGCCGTTTACAAACGGTGTCATCAAAAGGTGCCATCTCCATATAGCATTTGAATACGATCGCGAGGTTCGCTCGTGAGTGGCATAGGTTA